AACTTGGAAAACTAATGTTTGTGGTAAACTATTCTGTAAACTAACTGCAAAGTTGCTGTATGTCATCATCTATATTCCTCTGATAATCAATCCATTTGTTTAATCCCATGAGTGGGCAGTCACAACTAAAATCAGTTCATCATATTACTGAGTCACAGAGACTGTGGATCATGTTATACTTTTGTGCAAACTGGACGCCTTTGAGCTTCTGAAAACTGCTGTAAAGTGGTAAACAGTGTCTGTTTTCCAAACTTTAGGCCATGTGGGACTGTTTTAAAGTTATCTCTTCATCTCAAGACAGAATAAATTAGAGTTGACTCTAAAAATAGGTTCAATAGCAAGGAACATTCTCCCACGGACTAAAAACATGCAGGTTCGTTTCTTAGTAACTCTAAATATTCATTAGGTGTGATTGAGAGTGTGAATGGTCACCTGTCTCCTTTGTCTCTAAGTGGTCCTGAGATTTGGACTAGCAACCTGTCCGGGGTATACCCCCCTGACACAATCACCACTGGAGACAGACATCAGCTCCCCTGCGACTCAGCAAGGAAAACCAGTTTTTAAAAAATAAATGGATTGATGGACTTCTCATCAATCTTTAACATAATCATCTCTCAGCAACTTACAGTTAAATTATTTCTGATCTGATAGAAAACCATTATCCATCCATTATCTTTACCCGCTTCTTCCTTTTCGGGTCAAGGGGGTCACTGGTGCCCATGTCCAGCCATCACTATGCGAGAGACGGGGGACACCCATGACAGGTCTCCAGTCCATCACAGGGACACATAGAGACAAACAAGACAAACAACTATTCACTCTCTCACTCACACCTAGAGACAATTTAGAGTTGCCAATCAGCCTAACATGCATGTTTTTAGTCTGTGGGAGGAAACCGGAGTACCTGGGGAAAACCCACTCATGCCAGAGAGAACATGCAAATTCTGCCCAGAAAGGCCCCCCAGCCAGGATTTGAACCGGGGCAACCTGCTCACTGAGAGGTGGCTTCTCTACCAACTTCACCACCATGCTGCCTTGACTGAAAACCTTGCTCTGTAATTAG